GTTTCAAATGATCTTTGGACAAGATGCTGAATCTCAGTCTCAAGGTATAGATAAAAGTGCTATATGAATAGGTTTCTGTGATTAGGTGAATGAGCTTTGCAGTAGAATGTAAGGCTCAAATTCAGTAGAAAAGCCCTACATAAGTGCCATTACCTAGCACATGACTTCCACTAAATCCAGATATACGGTACCAAGGTAGGAAAAACATGTTAGTTTGGAGTTAAGCTAGCTCTTTTATCCAGCTTCTCATTTTTTATACCACCTCAGCTAACCATCTCCTAGTAATAGCTGCATGTTCGACTTGATTTTACTATCTGAATCTTGTTACAGTAACGATGAATTAAAATTATGAACTGTTACTTTATCAAAGAAAGGGAACAATACTTTCACCTGCAGTTTAACTGAAGGGAATGTTTATTGTATTGACCAATTATTAATGTAACTGTATAATGGCGGGTTAATTTTAATCTACAACATTCAACTGAATTCATTCACAGATCCAATTCACAACAGTTGCCTCGGGACGCTGGCTCTTGGAAACGTCGAAAAAGTTGCTACACAAACAATCTTTCCTGCCAGCCCAGAGCAAACATAAACTCAAACAGAGGAGCACATCACACCCACAGTCTCCTTCACTGGGGAGCTTTCGCTCTGTTCTCAGAGACAGCTGCACTGTAAAGGTATGTGTTGAGGTTAAGCATGTGTTAGAAACATTCCCCTGCTTGAGCTTTAAATGGAAAGTGAGCTGTTATTTTAAGCTGGATTTATATAAATCGGAAAGAAAATAAAAACTAAAAAGCAGTACTGTGTCTGTTTTACTATTCCTCTCAACATCTACACTAAAAATAAGAACCTAAAGCTTTATGTCAGGCACATTAGCAAACTGGCAGTTGTTATTGTTAAGTCCCTGTCTCATTCTCTGTGTCTTTGTCATTCATCTTAACAGAAAAGGTGGCGGAGACTGACACCTAATAAAAGACATCTAATATCTATGTCAACAAAGCTTAACCTGATGTGCCTTTGTTTTCAAAGTGACACCAATAAAACCCGCAAAGTTTGACATAGCTCTCTAAATTAGCACTGTTCTTGCTGCGTGTCTCAGAGAGAGCAAGAGTGGTGTGCAGCTCTGATGATTTAGCTATCCAGGGCTCCCTCTGAGCTTTTTTGCCTTACATGGATAGATAACGAGTAAGCTCCCATAGTCCTCTCTGAGTGTCAGCTCCTTCCCTTTCTCTCCTCCTTGTCGATACTTCTCATATTTGGCTTTGCTCGCCATCTTCTCCTCCGTTTGCAACAATCAAGGTTCTTTTCACTTCTGTTAATGTTAAATGTGTCCTCTCTAGTGAATACAAAGGGTTGAGTAGTTGAAAGAAAAAGAAGCAGAGGAAGTCACAAGGAATTAGAGAACAACGACTAAACTTTGGGTGAGGTTCGGACTGTAGCATGAGGGACACGCATCTGAAATTCAAGCCTATACATGTCTGTATTTTTATGAATTGTTTATACTTTCCGGCGTAAGTGTGTGTCTGCATTAGTATTCACAAAACGCTACCAATGGAGGAGTGTCGGTTTGTTGCCGTGATTCAGGGAGCCCCTGTCTCCTTTTATAGCAGAAGAATGGGGATTATTTACACATGCAGTCAGGGTCACAGCCCTCTCATCTATTAGTTGACTCTGAATGGAGCAATGAGCAGGCAGGATGCACTGCTTATAAACGTAGACCTCGAACAGACTGGAAGAGAACGGAATAGGGAAATTTTCACCTTTAAAGGAAAATGATGATTTGATAAATAGTTGAATGTTCTTTTTTTGTTTGTTTCCTTTTAAGCAATCTCATCACTCATCAATATTATTACACACAGCACACTAGTTACTAAAGATCTGGAAGGAATGAACCAAGCAGGACCCTCAGGGACTGAAAAAATGACGCCAACACAGTGGCAGAAACTGCAGTTCCTGTAATGTCCACTTGAGTACTTCAATCCCACAGACGCCCATGTTAAGATCAGAATCAGAATCAGAATACTTTATTAACCCCTAAGGAAATGATGTGGTCACGGTTGCTCCAAGACAATAGGAACAATAAAAAGTGAAAAGATAAGAAATAAACATGTTTATAACCAGCAAAAAATAAAAATAAAATTACAGTTGTGACAACTGGAGTCACATTATAAATCACATTTTTTTACCCAGGGTTATTAGATGATATTATTCCAGCTCTCATACAAATAGATCACCTATTCTTAGGGGTGACAGGTTGGTAGTGTTTTGTCTTTTGGTTGCATCCCAGCAAGCAAAGTAGTTCCAAAATAAAAGCTTAACCATGGTCGCCGAGGTTACCACGACATCAGTTGGAGGTATCACTCAAACGTCGTCAGGATGTCCTCGTTAGACTTCCTATCAAGAGAACTTTTGCAGTTTGAGTCCACCTGCTGTCACACTGAGGATTTGATTTTACATTAGAATGAAAACATTCCTGAGTTTTTAATAGGGACACTGTGAACAAAGAGGGGACGACTGTAAGAGTCCGATTTGTTAAAGTTACCAAGC